ACAGCTGGAAACTAAATAACTCATTACTTAATGAACAATAGGTCATTGATGAAATAAAAGAGGAAATTAAAAAGTTCCTGGAAGTCAATGAAAATGAAAACACAACCTACTGGAACCTATGGGACACAGCAAAGGCAGTCCTGAGAGGAAAGTTTATAGCCATGAGTGCATATATTAAAAAGACTGAAAGATCCCAAATCAATGACCTAATGATACATCTCAAACTCCTAGAAAAACAAGAACAAGAAAATCCCAAAACAAATAGAAGGAGAGAAATAATAAAAATAAGAGCTGAAATCAACGAAATAGAAACCAAAAAAACCATACAAAGAATTAATGAAACAAAAAGTTGGTTCTTTGAAAAAATAAACAAGATCGATAGACCCCTGGCAAACCTGACTAAAATGAGGAGAGAAAAAACCCAAATTAGTAGAATCAGGAATGCAAAAGGGGAGATAACAACAAACACCATGGAAGTCCAGGAAATCATCAGAGACTACTTTGAGAACCTATATTCAAATAAATTTGAAAATCTTAAAGAAATGGACAGATTTCTAGATACATATGATCATCCAAAACTGAACCAAGAGGAAATTAATCACCTGAATAGACCTATAACACAAAATGAAATTGAAGCAGCAATCAAGAGTCTCCCCAAAAAGAAAAGTCCAGGACCTGATGGATTCTCTGCTGAATTCTATCAGACCTTTAAAGAAGAACTGATACCAACCCTCCTTAAACTGTTCCACGAAATAGAAAGGGAAGGAAAACTGCCAAACACATTTTATGAAGCCAGTATTACACTTATCCCAAAACCAGGCAAAGACACCTCCAAAAAGGAGAACTATAGGCCAATCTCCTTAATGAACATTGATGCAAAAATCCTCAACAAAAAATGGCAAACCGAATTCACAACACATCAAAAAGATTATTCACCACGACCAAGTAGGCTTCATCCCAGGATGCAGGGGTGGTTCAACATACGAAAATCAATAAACGTAATAAACCACATTAACAGAAGCAAAGACAAAAACCACTTGATCATCTCAATAGATGCAGAAAAAGCCTCTGATAAGATCCAACACCATTTCATGATAAAAGCTCTAAGAAAACTAGGAATAGAAGGAAAGTACCTCAACATTATAAAAGCTACTTATAACAAACCTACAGCCAGCATTATACTTAAGAGAGAAAAACTGAAACCATTCCCTCTAAAATCAGGAATGATTCAAGGATGCCCACTATCTCCACTCTTATTCAACTTAGAACGAAATGTTATCATTTGCTGGTAAATGGATGGAATTGGAGAACATTTCATTCTGAGCGAAGGTTAGTCTGCGCTAAAAGACCCAAAAATCGTCTATGTTCTCCCTCATATGTGGACATTAGTTCAAGGGGCAAACACAACAATGGGATTGGACTTTGAGCACATGATAAAAGGGAAGAGCACACAAGAGAAGGGGTTAAGGGATAGTAAGACACCTAAAAAATTAGCTAGCATTTGCTTGCCCTTAACGCAGGAGAAACTAAAGCAGATTACGTTAAAAGCAAACTAAGCTTATAGGAAAAGGGGACCAGGGAACTAGAGGAAAGGTTAGATCAAAAAGAATTAACTAGAGGTAACACACACGCACAGGAAATCGATGTGAGTCCAATGCCCTGAATAGCTATCCTTATCTCAACAGCAGAAAACCCTTGTTCCTTCCTATTATTCCTTTATACTGTCTGTACAAAACAAAACTAGAAATAAAGCAAATAGTTCTGCTGGGTATTGCAGGGGGGGAGAGAGAGGGGGCGGAGTGGGTGGTAGGGAGGGGGTGGGGCAGTGGGAGAAATGACCCAAGCCTTTATGCACATATGGAATAATAAAAAGAAAAAAAAAAAAGCTAGGCTAGGATGTTACAAAACTCCCCTGAAAAGATATTGTGATGGAAAGGCACCGAGGCTTCAGAGGACTTCCACCTGGGATGCTGGGAATTTGTTTGTTAGATGCTTCCCTAATGAATTTGTTTGTCAGATGCTTCCCTAATACATTCTAATGATTTATGCATTTTTTTGGTAATAATGGGGTTTGAATTCAGAACTTCCTGCTCACTAGGTGGACACTACCACTTGAACCATGCCCCCTGCCCTTTTTTATGTTAGTTATTTTTTGGGTAGGGTTGGCTTTAAACAGCAATCTTTCTGTTCTCCATCTTCCAAATAGCTGGGATTAAAGACATATATCACCACACCCAGCCCTGATTTATGTAGTTTATTGCATGTGTGAAACTCAATAAAAAGTTCACATGTACACAATCAGGAGACAACAACAGATGTAAATGCAAAAACATACCCTGTGGCTTTCAAGAAAATGAACATATGGGAAGCAGTGAGCCAATAGGAAAGAGCCCTGATGGACACAGCAGAGATAGAGCCAGAAGATGCTATTTCTACCAGAAATAATCCAGAAGTTTAAATTATTTCTTATCTGAGCAACTCTGATTAAAAGAAGAGATATCAGACTTGAACATTCAGAGTTGCCCTCAAAGGTCAGAGAGCAGTTAGAGCCTATGCTGTGTTTGTTCAATGGTTATTGCAAAAGTGATTTTTTTTCTCCCCTATTTTAAAAAAATATTTATCTTTGTACACTAGGAATTCAAGGGTAGAGTAGGAGAGGCTGTGTTTACACCACTTTGTTCCCGAGGAAATGCTGAAAGCTACCACAATGCTCACAGAGCTGAGATGGGCAGGTATTAGGATAAGAACAGCCTACAGGCCAGCTTGACATCCTGGGTCTTACCAGAACTGATCCAGATAATGCCATTTGTAAATAAAATGGCACTTTATCAGTTTTCAAATTCCTCACTTTTTTGACATCACCATCAGATGACCTTTCAAAGCTTCTATACCACTTCTTCCTCTTCAAACCCAAACTGGGAATCCAATATGGTGCTCCCTAGAGATAAAGGACTCATTCCTGTACCACCAGACACCTCCCAAGATCTCAAAATGTGTCTGAACAATACACATCCTTTCCTTTTGGTTTATATACGGTCAGCCTCTTCCCTCTCTTGTCCAAGAGTCTGCCAAAGGCAGACAAGAGTTCTGGTCCTTCTGGGGCTGAGCCATCCTGTCAGGGTTAGGCCACCATGCCTATAGGAATGTGGTGGCTTGGCAAGGGTCCAGGCCCTGCACACAGTGATTAAAGGTCTGGAATATAGGACAATCAGGAGCATGTGGAGCCTCAACACGGCCTACAGTGGTTTCCACTGGGGAGGCCCTGTCATGCTGCTGACAGTGTCCAGCTACTCCCTTCCTTCCAAGAAGCCTGGCGAAGTAGATGCTTAACTGTTTCGATAAACAGCTTTTGCCATGGAGAAGGCCAGCACAAAAGTGTGCTTCTCAAAGAGGGGACAGAAACATTTTGCCTAGATCCTCAAGGAAAATCTATTTCTCTTGGGATAAAACATACATAAACACTCAGTTATTTAGCTTATGGCCCAAAAGACGCCCTTATAAGTAGCAGCTAGTCTTATTTTCCCTTCTTGACCTTGTGTTTTGTAACAAAAAATCTTCCTATGGCTTTCAAGAAAAGCCAATGGCAGACAATGCCCATGAAGTCAGAAGAGTGGTCACTGCAGGGGGGCAGGGTTCTGGCTAGCTAGGAAAGGGTACGAGAGGAGCATGTGGAGTGCTAGTAGTGGGGATACCTGAATGTATGGGTGTGAAAGTCACCAAACTGTACACTACAGCTATGCATGTTTAAGTACATTAGTTTTAAATCTGAATAGAAAAGTTTAAAAGTAAAAGAACAAAACAGATAAAAACAAAGCCTCTAAGCAGTTAGAAAATCCTTTTCTGGTGAGTCCAATAAAGCTTTCTGCAATTGAGGTGTTCTCTCTTTGTGGCTGTCCAATACAGTAGGTAGTAATCATATGTGGTTACTGAGCACTTGAAATTTGACTAGTGTGACTGAAAAACTGACTTTTACCTGAATTTTGATAAATGTAAATACATTTAAATGTGGCTGGTGGCTACTGTATTGGGCAGCACAACTCTAGGTCATAAGGAACTTCAACAGCAAAGACTTCCTTTTCTTCGTATCTCTCTCAAAGCACCTAACAGATCAGAAGATACCATATGCACTTTTGAAGCTAAACAAATGACTAATTTAAATAACATGTATTTCAAACCAGGCAAGGTAGTGCATGCCTGTTGTCACAGCTACTTGTGAGGTTGAGGCAGGAGGATCACTTGAGCCTAGGAGTACAGGGCCAGCCCGGGCAATGCAGGGAGAGACTCTGCCTCTTTTAAAAAAATAAATAAATAAAGCGTATATTTCATATAATGTAATTAAAGGAACAAATAGGAATAAGCTACTAGATGAATCTCAAAACTATCTTCAGTGAAAGGTTTACACAAAAGAGCACATGCTGCAGTATTATATTTACATAGAAAAAGCAAAAGTATGTGTGATACTGCCAATCACAGCAGTGGCTACCTCAGGGGTGGGAGGAGTTGACCACATGGAGACTCAGAAACCTTTGTGGGGGGGGGGGCGATGGTGTGGGGGTGTGATATAGCTGTGTACAATTGTCAAAACTCAAACTGCAATCTTGAGGTTTGTGTATTTTATGCAAATTACATCTCTATCTAAAAATGCATACAAAAATACTTAAGTAATGATAATTGTGGGTTTTTTTTTTCCTCTTCCTTCTTTTTGCAGTGCTGAGAATGGAACCCAGGGCCTTACTCATGCTGGGCAAGTACTATACCACTGAGCTGTACCCCCAGCTCAGTTTGCCACTCTTTGATAGCCACATATCAGCACCTGGGACAGACATTAACATTTGGTAGATAAAGTAAATAAAAAAGATAAGTTATCTGTCTAAGCAGTACTGCAGAAGAGGCATGACCCCAAGGCCATGTCCTGGTCACTATGCCACCCAGCTTTCCTAATGAGCCAGTCACTCACTGTCAGGGTGCCACACCCTCCCACTGCATTCCTGGGGCCTTACCAGCACATAACCATCTGCTTTGGGCTGCCGGGCCAGGCTCACCCCCATCCATTCATCATCCCGGTCTTCTCGGCAGGTCTTTCCACAGGGTGTGCCCCGATTCTTCCCTGGAGGGAAAAGAGAAAAGTCAGACTCTAGTTAAGGAGAGAACTCTGCTGTGTGCTTTTCAAATGACGGTCCACAGCTCAGATCTTTGTTATTTGTAAGGAAATAAGGAACTTTTAGCAAGATGTCAATCAACTCTGACACTATGAATGCTGCTTAATTCAGCCAATTTTTTTTTTCACAGCAAGACTCTTGATGAAGGGAACAGTGCATTGACTGATGTTCTGAAGCAAGATCTTTAATTTGTAATGCATCAGTAACAAACAGGTCATAGGCCAGTCACTTTGAGTAGCACTATAATACCTTGGGCAACTCTATTTAAAAATTAATAATAATGAGAAGATCTTTTTGTAATAGTCCATTCATTTTTATTGTTTTGTGTTATTCCATGATATGAATATATGAAAATTATCAATTGTATTTATTTTTAAATTAACAGATAAAGTTGCTTTTATTGTGTACAACATGTTTTAAAGTATATGTATATGGTGGACTGATTAAATCTATCCACTTAACAAATGCATTACCTCATACAGTTGTCATTATTTAAATTTTATTAATATATAATAGTTGTACAGGGGGATATATTGTGATATTTACATATGTGTTTACAATATGTCTTAGATTTACCCTCTCCATCATTCTCCATTTCCTCTTCTGCCCTTCTTAGAACAATTACAGTTTCATTCTTCTATTCTCATTTATGAGAATTCTTCTATTTTCATTTATGAATACAAAATACATGAGAAAGGACTATGAAGAAAGTAAGGATTGAAGATGATAATTATTTATCAAGCACAGATCTGTGTGCTTGCCTCCTTTTAATCTTCTCAAGGTAATCCTTGTATCTTGATCTTGATTTTACAGGGTGAGGGACCTGAGGTATAGAAATTATAGGATATTACCAATAAGTGCCAGCTGGGCTTTGAACCCAGTCAGATCCATCTGATGTATTTTCCACTAGACCAAAATGAGATTTAAAAAAAGAAACATCCATCCAGCCATATCTTTCCTCACTTAAAATATGAAACTGAAAATTTATTTTAATGACCTCTTCCCTCATACATAGAATAAAATCCCAACACTTTAACCTGAACTTCTAGGCCCTGTATGCTCTAGCCCAGGCCCACCTCTAGATCCTCCTCTACTTCCACCCTCCCCTGCCCACCACTCCAGCTACACTGTCCTCTCTTTGGACTTAAAATGATACCTCTCTGCTTGAAGCCTCTGCCTCTTGAACCCGCCAAGTCAACTCTGAAGCAGCCTTCTCATGGAGATAGGTCCCTAGGGAGACCTTCAATCCAGAGTAAATTGAATACCCACTTTCCTCTGGTCTTTCCTCACTCTGTTATTTGTTTTAATGTCTCTCCTAACTATTAATTTTCGAGGTGCAGAATGACAGGATCCTTGTTTGTTTTGTTCACTGGCATATTCCAGTAACTCAATAACAGGTACTCAATACATATTTGTGGGAAGGGTAGAGCTCAGGCCATCCTAAGAAGAAAAAGAGCGAAGTGTGAAGGTGCAGATTCCATTTCTGCCTTGACAGTAATGTCCACCCACCTCGAACCATGTCCAATTCGGTGCATCTCCGGTCAGGGTTGGTATGGATTCGGCACTTAAACACAGCCCCAGGGGACTTCACTGAAGCACTGTATTTGGAATCTGCCTTTGGTGCACCCACAAGGACCCTGCATATAAACAGGAAAAGGCATTCTTTACACCAGTACTAGAGGAAAGGGGGGAAGTAATTAAATCTTCATCCATTCATAGGTGAGCACTAAGAATGCTCAGTGGGAAGCCATATTATTTTACTCTGTGTGTGTGTGCACGTGCACATGTGTGCATGCATGCACACGTGTGCACCAGGGTGGGGATGGGGATCAGCACTACAGTTAATCCATTAAATCTTCTCCAGATGCATTAAAAGCTTAAAGGACTGGGGATGTGGCTCGGTGGTAGAGTACTTGCCTAGCATGTGTGATGCCCTGGGTTCCATCTTCAGCACCTCCCCAAACAAAAGCTTAAGAAACAGCTAGGAGCACATAAATCCATCAAAACATTCCTATCCACAATCTACAGCAAACTATAAAACAGCAAGAAAAACACAAACAGAATAACAAACCAAAGACTTGAATAGGTACCTCATGAAAGAATATAGTTAAATGGTCAATAAACACATGAACAGATGCTCAACTTTATTAGTTACCATGTAAGTAAAGTGAGATACTACCTCACAATGACTAGAAGGCTAAAACCAAAAAGACAAAATGCTAAGTGTTGATAAGGACGTAGAGCAACTGTAACCTTTATACACTGTTGGTAGATGTGTAAACTGTTAAAACCACTTTGGAAAATGAGTTGTGGGGTTCTAATAAAGCTAAACATGTGCCTCCCCTATATCCCAGTAATTATATTTCTATGAATACATCCACTATAAATGCCCACATATGCACAAAATCGTCACAGCTGAATATGGAATAGCCAAAAAACAAGAAGAAACCCGAAGGCCCATCAGTGCTACAGTGGATACATAAATTGTGGTGTAGTAATACAAAAGAATTCTATATACCAATGAAAAATTGGTGAGCAACATTCAATTGCAATCGTATTCATGAATCTCACAAATGTAATGCTGAACAAAAGATGCCAGAGTCTGATTCCATCTATGCAAAGTTTAACTATGGCATCAGTGGTTAGGATAATGATAACCTCTGGGAGGAGGAGGGGGGTTGTGATTTAGGGAGGACTTTGCTGGAGGTAATAATAATGCTCTATTTTTCAACCCGAGTGGCCTTTACACAAAGCATGATAATTCATTTAATCATATGTGATACGGGCACTTTTAATAAAAAATGGGAAATTTTAAAGATAACATTTGCTGTCTCCTCTCCTCCACTTACTGCCAACCACACACAGCACATACACACATGGGGGGAACAGGAAGAATAGCAGTGGGGAATTATAACCTGCACCCTCTATCCCAACACAAACAGAACAGATTCCATGCCAGGTCAAGGACAAAAATGAAGCTCTGCAGCCTTCATTTTGAACTGCACAGCTGCCTGGAGGGTGTGCCTTCCCTTGACTACAGGAAAAAAGCAAGCATGCCATGAAGAGAGGGCCGTGCCTGGGTGGGTATAGAACATGGAGTCAGATGGCAGAAAGTTCCCCTCCAGGTCTCACAAAAAATTTTTCCTTGGACTTTGATGCATTGTTTCTGCACAGCAGTCAACTGAAGATCTATAGCAGAGATACTAAACAGTTGTAATTAGGCAGCTTGTACTGAGCCACTGGAGAAGGTCTTGTATAACAAGACTTTAAACAAAATCTATGGTGAGGTGCAAAGAGTAGAAAATTCCAAACCACTGCTCAGTGTGAACATGAGCTACTCCATGTCTCCAGCAGCCAGGAAAGCAGATGGAATTTGCCTCACAAGGATATTAGATGCATTAGTAAATACATCATCTCCCACATGCCTTGGAATAGAATTCATTTTCTATTAAGTATCTGTGGAAAAGGTCTCCAGCAGAGATTAGAACAATCCTCAACAGCCTCCCTGGGGATACAGAAAGCTGGCTCAGGCCACCTCCATCTTGGAATCTCAGTCACTCAGCCCACTTTGGCCTAAAAATGACACTGTTTCCCCACTAACACTGGCTGGACAAAGACTGACAAAGAAGTACTTTATCACACAGCAGATGTCAAGTGGACTTCAGCAAAGGCTGGTAGACATCAAAAAAGAATGCTTTTACTAGCCTGGCCCAGAGACCTGGTGCCAGGGATCATTGGAATGCATGTGGGACCAATCTTAATTCCCACTGCCCCTGAGCTCAACCCCTCCACCCTCAGAACCTGAAGGGTCTCTGAGGACAGGGAAATCCTGGATCTTTGCAAGAGAATCTGTATTTGCTTCTGTGATGGCGGCTTCTGGAGAGTGAGGGAAGCCAAGCCCCCAGCAATGAAGGCTGCACCCAAAGCCCTACTGCACCTCAGTACTGTTCTGGGAAGCTTCCCTGCAGGCTTTTACTTGGCAGCACACACTCCCAGCACTCACCACAATTGGCCCCAGTTGCAGCAGAGCTGGAACTCACAGCCCTTTGAATCTAAGTGAGCCCTTTCCCAAGCAGACCACTGTCTTGCTCACCGACACAAGGGCAGTTTGACCCACCTTGGCTGTTCTAATTCAAATGCATAATGACACTCATAATGAAACTCCAAGAAGAAAGCCACATTAAGAGGTCAATTTTCCCCTGCTTCAGGGTTGAGCCACTGGGGCAAGTTAAGAAGTGCTCCCTATAACACCAGTTTTTTTCACAGATGTTAGGAATTAGCAGTTTACATCTAACCTGCTGAAACATCCTCAAGCCTGTCCACTTGTCAAGTCTTAAGAGAGGGAGAGCATAAAAATACCACCTCTACTAGAAAACTCCAGTGTTACCAGGCTGGGTTCAAAACTTTTCACCAACTACAGATTCCTATCAGCACACTGAATAACTGCCATTTTTGTAATTCATTTTACAAAAGTCAAAAAACACTCAGTAGCACAGTGCTTACCTGGCATGCGTGAGGCCCTGGGATCAATCCCCAGCAACATCAAAAAAAAAAAAAAAGTCACAAAAATAAGCAAGAAGGGTTGGCAGAGTGGCTCAAGTGGTAGAGTGCCTGCCAGCAAGCATGAGGCTCTGAGTTCAAACCCCAGTAGCACAAAAATAAACAAACAGGAGTGAAAACTTATCAATACAAGACTTAGAAAAAGACTGCAAGAAACAACAGGCTATTCCTAAAATTGACATCACAACCCTAGAAATTTCTGATAGTGCTACCACTCCAAATTCAGATTAGCCAAATGAGCAGGGAGCCTGAAGAGCTGAATTCTCAGGCACTACTTCCCACAGCCTAGAAAAAAGGGGAAAATTTTACATCAAAATCTAAAGTAGAGCTGGGCAAGGTAGCTCATAAATATAATCCCAGCTGGGTATGGTGGTGTATACCTGTGATCCCCAGCTATGCAGAAGGTATAAGTAGGAGAATCACAGTATGAGAAAAAAAAAAAGTGAGCCCTTATCCAAAAAAATAACTAAACATAAAAGTGCTGGGTAGGGAGCAATGCATGGCATGGCTTAAACAGTAGAGCACCTACCTAGCACAGAATTCAAATCCCAGTATGGCTTAAAACAAAACAAAACAAAACCCCTAACATAGACAAGGGACCTGCTGAATTGCAATTTCCTTCCAAGCCAAAGGTACTTTAAAGTTCTAATAACAATGGCTGATTCAAACCCTGATAGCATCACTCCGGTTCAAACTTCTAATTAGTTGCCAGATGAAAAGGTTTTTCCCAAATCCTGTGTGATGAAAAAACAATGCACAAGATAAAAAGGGAGGTGTGCACACATGGGCATGACCCTCACAGAGTGGCACACTGGAGAATGCACTTGTGTCTCTGTGTTTACAGAACATAGTGGCTTCCTCGGCCAATGTGGGATCTTTACCTGGGACGCCATCCAGCAAGACTGCCGCTACAGACTAGCCCCCAAGGATGGCTTTTCTGAAGTTCATTAAGCTGGCTGATCTCATGAGAGGGGAAAGGGAGAGGGGAAGAAAGAGAGAAAGGAGGAGAGAGAGGGAGAGGGAGGGAGAGAGAGAGAGAGAGAGAGAGAGAGAGAGAGAGAGAGAGAGAGAGATTACACTGGCTCAGAGTTCAGGACAAGCTACTGAAAAGATGCCACCTGCTTTCTCTGTCATTGTCTTCTGAGTTATAAAGAGACATCTCGACCACTGCAAACATCCCCCAAGTCTTCCCTGGTGCCCTTGAGAAGAAAGTGTCTTTCTTCCATATGGACCCAGAGTGTCCACAGCAACAGGCTCCCATCAATAAACCATCAAGCTGGCTCTGACCTCTGTTTGCTACTTCAAGTGTGGTCACAAGTCCAGTAGTATGGAGAATTCTAGGCACTTGCTAGAAGTGCAGGATCCCAGGCCATGCCAAGCCCACTAAATTAGAATGTGCACCTTAACCAGCTCTCCAAGCAATTTTTAGTCTAAGTACTATGTAATCACCTATCATGATTACAAATAACTGGGTTCACTGCACTCAGTACATTGCCCTTGAAAGGTAAAGTTCACCTATCTCATTCCCAGTTAAAGATGCTGCAAACTTCAAAGACATTTTAGAGTCCTCTCATCAGCCTAGGACTCAGGGTTTCTAAGTAGGGCACAGCATGTAATAGGCACTTAAGAGTGTGTGGTGCAGGGCTAGGCTCACTAGGGGCAGTACTGAACTTAGTCTTTGCAGCAATTCTAAAGAAAGTATCTTCATTTTATAGATGGGGAAGAAGATGACCAGAAGTGGTCCTGGACACAATTGCACAGCTGCAGCATGCACCCTGGCAGCAGGGTGTATTGTCCAATTCCTATTCTACCCAGTCCCTACCAGTCAGAAAGGAGCAAAAGGAAAGCAGCAGGTACCTGGTGTCCCCTCTGGTGCTAGCTGCTCATATGTGTGTATTGCACAACAAGATGCTGGTTTACACCGCTTGTACATGACAAAGGAGGGATCTGAACCCAGTGGTTTTGTGTTCAGGGGCAGTGTTTTCCAGTTCCCCAGACTCTCCTAGAGTGGCAGTTTGAGTGTCCCTATTTCTCCAATGAAGGTACTTCTTCAGTTCCCTGTGTGTGGCCATGCTGA